ATTAGATGTGGTGCATATTGTCGTTTAATGAGAACAGTTGATAATAGGGTTTCTGGAAAACCTGTCCGCTGGAAAAGCAAATCCTTGTTCTTTTGTCAGAAAATTTTTCAAGCCACAAAAAGCCTGATAGAGCATACAATTCGGAATAAAACAAGATATTTTCTTGGTGTTTATAATGATTTTTAACTGGAATCTTTTTCTAATTTTCACTGTCTTTGTAGCCCTTTCTAAATCGGTTGTACTTGCGTGAAAAATCATTATAAACAGCCAGAACATATCTTGTTTTACTCAGAATTGTATGCTCTATCAGGCTATGTGGCTTGAAAAATTTTCTGACAAAAGAACAAGGCACCACATCTAATAGAAAAATGTTCGGGCTATTCAAAACAGTATTTAGATTGGTTTCAGCTGTTGCCAAAATATCAAAAAGAAAGGAGTTCTTGTGATAATGAGACACAGTACTACATAGATAATACCCCAACTCTTCTTTTCCATATCTTTAATGATTGGACCCACCTTTTTAGATGTTCTGATCAGCTCACTTTGTAGAGATTTTCAAGGGCTATCCAATGGTATGTTTTCGCAAAATACATAATTTTATATTCCAGTATTCCATGGAAGACCGTTATGTGTAGTTTAGACTGCAGTCTAAACTTCCTTCTGGAAAAAAATCTCCTAAACTTTGCAATAACTCTCAAGAAAAAACAAATCTTGCAAGATTCTTCCAAAACACGCGAGAAAAAAAGAAATTCTTCTACTTCTTTCATAAACATCAGACAACTTTCTTTTCGCGATGTCCAGTGCTAATTCTTTCTGTGTTATCCGGAAAATCACAAATAATGTCTCTTTCTCTAAAGAAGCACCATTGAATCTCTTGTGAAATCCTGCGAGGAGATTTGCTCGTATAATTTATGGAAAAACTGAAGATCTATTTTTCGAGAATTCGCGTGACAAAAACAATACAAGTTCTATTTGTGATCTCGAGAGGTTCACGGGCGTTTTTAAATAGATCATAGGCGTTTTCTCCTTTTTCTTAAGAGTTCCTGCGACGCGAGCAAAATGATTGGTCATAAAAATAGTCAGAAAATTTAGTCACCGATGTATCAGAACGCCATTTAGTCATTAGAAGATTCATTTCATGATTAAACACTTCGTCGCGAAAACTCAGTTGTACAGTATGGATCTCTATCGATTTCATCAAACCTCCAAGTTTTACAGACATTATGAACAAAGAAGACATGGTGAAATTTGACTAATAATATGAATGAAGAAGAGATGTTGAATGTCAAAACTCTTTAAAAGATTTGGTGATCAAAAGTGCATTTACTCGTTTTTATTTGTAGATCATAGGCGTCTTCTCCTTTTCCTGAGAGTTTCTGCGAGATAAAAGAGATAAGAGACTTTTGCTTCGTTATAATCTAAATGCGTTTCTTTTGTTAGTGATATTTATTAAAGATTGATCCTGCATTACTAGACAGTATTTGAAAGAGATATGAATCTTGAGTGTAATCCACTTTAAAATTACACATGTAAGGTAATAAGCAACGTAGAGACGAAGAAATATAAACGAGGGTCTTAAAGAGTAGTTTGAGATATTTAATGTTAAGTTGTAGAATCCATCTGCAATAAATATCGCTGTCGAAAACAACACATTTTCATTATAATGAAGTAAAATCTTTTATCTTGTAGCTAGTAAAACTAGATGGGTTTGCAGGATTCATAGAGGCAAGATCCATTTGCTCTATTCTGCTCAAGCTTTTAGATCTTAAGAATGTAAAATTCGTTTTATTATACTTAGTTTTGTATGGAAATCAGAGCAAAACAGTTTGGGAATTATAAATATAAAAGAAAAAAAAAGAATGACCCGATACACGCGAGATTAAAATTAAAATTTATATATAAAATCTTGCGAGATCTCACAAGATTTTCATCTCAATAGATCTCGTCAAAAAAGATCCTGCGTTTCGTCTGATAAAAATGCGTGTTTTCGCGAGATCTTTAGGGGAGAAAAACACATATTTTTATCAGACGCATGAAATTAGGATTTTTCTCCACGAGAACCGCACTTTAGTTCTCGCCAAATCTCTCAGGATTTTGTCCAGTTTTTTTCAGTGGGTATCATAGTGCTGCTCCTCTTTCCAACAAACGTTGAAACCATCCTCAGAAACTTTAAGTTGTCATCTTTCGTTCCACTAGCTATTCATATGCTCGCAGGAGAAGTTCTTGTCCGCTACTAACTACGAGTCTCTTGTAAATTCCATGCTTATAGACGTGAATTAAGAGCAACAGAAATAGAAGCACTCAACATTTATAATCGTTGTATGCTTCTGTTCTTCGACAAAGTCAGTTAGCTATTGTCCATTATGTTACACTTATAATCAAATAAAAAACATAACCTTGACGAGAAAATATTTGTTTTTATAGGCCTTTTTTATTGTTATGTCAACAATAAAAGGTAAATAATACGACTAATTTTTCTCTTAAGAAAATTACGTGTCAGTATCACCCAGAAATGGAATATCTAGTACCTTCATCTAGTAGCTAGGGTCTTCTGGAAAAGAGGTATTAAAAATATTTTTGTTCCTGTCAAGAATTATACTCACGAGGTGATATTTCGCTTTTTAATGAAAAACAGTTTTTCAAAAACTCTAGCAAATAACTCAAACCTTTCTTAACAATATAGAATTGTAGCCCGTAAATTTCTGATTAAAATGAGACATCTCCCAGCTCTACATGATCTTTCTTTGCAAAGTTATAGAATTTATAAAAGAACCCTAAATTATTCATTGTTAGTTCAAAGCTACAGAAATAATTAATTTAGGACGTGTTTTTCCAGAAGATCGGATCTTTGAAGGGCATTGAGCAACCCTCGTGGTCATATTCGAAATCAACATGATCGATAACCTATAACCCACAAGATTTCCATCAAAAAGCGAAATATCACTTCGCGAGGATTCCTCGTGAGTACAACTCTTGACAGGAACAAAACAATTTTTAATACCTCTTTTCCAGAAGACACACCAAAGTGACTACAAAAGACTAAGTGGCATTCGACTTACGTATCTTTAATGTGGCTAGAGCAAAGATGCTATAAAGTGCCTACCAGGTAAAGTCGCATCATATGTCTTCAAGGAGACACTAAAATGTAGCTTTTTCCGATCCGACTAATGTGTCTTCCTAGAAGTCGCATGTTCATATGAACGACGTATATCTGAGCATATTCGTAAAGTCAAATACAGAGATCTAGAAGGTTCTGAATCAGTTCAACATTCGAAGCGTAGTCCAGAATGCTTAATTAATTTTGAACATAGTGTTATTTTTGATAAAGAAAAACATTGGTAGAGGAGAAAAAAGTTAGAAACAGTGTACACAATAGCTAATAATGAATATAATATATGTAAGAGCACAAATCTACAATGGAAATCAACTATTAAGCGATGGATAGAACCGAGAAGCGGGAAGAAATTTTACATAACTAAAACCGAAGTAAGAGAACAGGTTAGCCAAAAGGATATAGTAGAGGAACCGATCGAGATGAGAACAATAAAAGCTCGAGATATGGCTTAAGAAAACAATCGAGAATAAAGTACAAATAAAAAGCATAAGTTTGAAATGTTGACTTTTCCAAAGGTTTTCATCGATCATTTTATTAACGTTATTTTATTGTATATGTATTTTTAAGCTTTAACATTAATTGTCTGCATGGTTAAGAGAGCAAAAAGAAAAAAGGTCGTCTTGACATATATATAAACTCCTTACTTGGTGTGTTTTTATCTTTCTTTCTTAGATCAGTTCTTTTAAATTACGTAATCTTATAATAAGTAAGAATTGTCTAGGCAGGGGAAAAGTGAAAAAGAAAAGTAAGATATAAATATAATATGTTAAAGATGCTTGTCAAACCACAGTTTTTTTATTATAGTCTGTATATATTGTATAAAAGTAAAAAAGGGAAGAGTATCCCTATGGAAAAGTTTTCCGTTCAAATTATTTTGTTTATGTAATTTTAATTAATTTAATTAATGTTTGTATCCACGGAGGAAGATTGAACTATCAATCGAAACGTATATAATAAATAAAGTTAGCATGAAGAAAAAGTACTTATTTAAAATATAAAAAATCTGATCTAACTTCGTATTCATATGGACTTTTCAAAAATGAAAACTTCTTTTAATACATGCAGTACTGAAGTGAGATGCGTGATATTTCTTTTATACATGTTGTGGCCAAACTTAGAATCCGACCAACCAGACTTAGAACTGAAATGTCTGTATATGAAGAATTCTGAATTTGGTCAGCCCAAATTGGAATTTGCAGTTGGAAATGGTGATCTCTTTAGGAAGACAGTGTTTTGCGCTATGATAAGTGACTTAAAGCCAAAAAGTCTGTCCTATTATGAAGTATGTGTTAAAATTTGACTAAAAGATCTCCAGACAAAATTGAAATTCGAACTCTGACTAAAAATTATTACGCAAGATTAGACTTTTGACATTATTTTCATGTAATGTCGGGTTTAATCTTAACTGGCATTGTGCGCCTAAGACATCCTAGCATAAAGTGAACAATAGTATGCTTCTTCTCCCGTCGATGACTTTCCAGCCTGCCGGGTGGATTTTCGAATTCACACAGGGGCTCACTGTTTCTGGATAGTGAGGAAGCGACCCTGGGCTGCCGGTAGCCAACCGTCTTACCTTGAGGCTAGCAACCTCTCGGTAGGACTTTAAACTTATATTGCTATTGAAAAGAAGAAAAACAACAGTGCCAATGCACAATACCATGTGTTCTTTGGAGGATGGAACGTTCGTTCTTGTGTTAAACAGTCAAAGAAAGAACTTGTAATTAGACAATTAAAGAAACATCGAATCCAAATTGCTGCTATCAGTGAAACCTGCATGTATGATTCTGGTGTGAAATTAGTTAATGACTATACGATTATTCATTCTGGATTACCATCTGACAATAAAACTAGAAATGCACATGGTGTGGCCATTTGTCTTGACCAGACAGCCGCAAAGGTTTGGAAGGATTCGGGCTCTGAATGGGAGGCAATCTCTGAAAGAATTCTGAAAATTCGTCTAAAGTGTTCTCCAATTCATATGACTGTTATCTCTATTTATGCTCCTGTAAATCCAAGTAATAACTTGATGGCTGATGCGTGTGACAAATTCTATGAGGATTTACAAGAAACTGTGAATAAAATTTCAAAGGAAGATATGGTAGTGATTATGGGTGATTATAATGCACGGGTAGAAGAAAAACAAACAAATGTATGTCAATGTATTGGGCCTTTCACAGTGGACAAAGATTAATTGATTTCTGTACTACAAACGGTATGATCATCTCAAACACCTTCTTTAAGCATAAAATTATCCATCAAACCTCCTGGATGCACCCAGGAAACAAGATCTGGCACACACTTGATTATACGTTAGTGAACAAGAAATTTAGATCAAGTGTGGAAGACGTTAGAATGCTTAGAAGTGCAGCAGGAGCCATTGGAACTGACCACCATCTAATGAGAGTGAAAATTAAATTAAAAACAACTGTGTGATAATTACAGAGGTATTTCGTTGTTAAACGTAACCAGCAAAATATTTTCTCGTTTAATTTTGAACCGTATTCGAAATATGATTGATCATCAACTATTAGAAGCACAAGCTGGATTTAGAGCACAAAGATCCACTATGGATCAGATCTTCACATTAAAAACTACTATGGAGAAGAGAAGAGAGCTCAATAAACCATTGTTTATGTGTTTTATTGATATTACAAAAGCATATG